GGCTGTCTACACTGGCCCTTTTCCGGAACAGTGTTCCATAATAAGGACTTATGCCCGAGCGGGAGCAGAATAGTTTTTCCGGAATAGCGGCTGATTTTGTACAGTAGAGCATCGTTGCTTTTCCGGAAATTCAAGGGCCAGTGTAGACAGCTCGCAGCTTATTCCGGAAAAGCGGCTGATTTTCCGGAATAAGTGGCCCAGTGTAGACACAGCCAAGGTGTTTGGGGGGGAACGGCTGGGCTTTGGTGGACAAAGGGTGTGGCCTTAGGCAGAAGGGACAGGCTGAAGGCTAGCCTCCCCAAGCCATGGGGTCAGCCACACCCATGTCTGCTACCGTAACCACTAGCCCAACCTCCTCCTTTGCCTTGTGCGGAAAGCCAGGCTAGTCACAGCCTGTGGCAATTCCACTGCTGGGCGCTGTCCACAGCCAAGCCTGCTCGGAAGTGCCGGTACATCCGGCAGCTGCCGGGAGGCCTGTGCACAGCGCGCTTTGTGGTCCCAGTCCAAGAGAAAGATGCTCAAAACCCACCCGGCTGAAGTCACAGGAACTGGCTCTCAGAACGGAAGAGATTCCCCACCTGGGAACAAGAGTTTTTGGCCCTTTTAGCGATGACGTCAGAAAACATCAGCTACTGAAAACAGAGAAATGGACCAATTTTCCACTGCAGGCCAAGGCTGCGTCTCTGCAGAATGAACCCTGGGAGGGCGGAGCTGGCGTTGCGTGACCGACACAGGGCCTAGCCAGCCAGGAAGGCCATTTTGCACCTGCGCATGTTTAGTGGTCTCTGCTGTGTCCCTGGATGCCTTCTCCTGCCCGCCTCTCCGTCAGCCAACGGGCTGCATCCGGGTCAGGTTATTCTTCCCATTTGCTTGCTAGGGGCCCACTGTCCAGAGTCAACACCTCTGAAATCAAGGGGAGTTTTTTAACTGCCCTTGGAGCAGTGCCCTAGACTTCTAACTGCTGTTTCCATGGGACCAGATATGGAGTCATGGCCATCAACTGATGCTGCACTTGCTTTTCTTTGCTTGTCTTTAAATGATCACATGGAACATCTCTTGACACAGAGGAAATCACACCTCAGGAGCCTTGCACAGAGCTATCCCTCTCATGAAAATAAACCCAAGTCACCGGGAACCGTACATCTGCCTAGAACGCTGCCTGATATAGATACACGTGGCTACGGCTATTCAGTTTCAAATGACAACATATGTAGCAAACAGAGCACTGCTCTTTCATATAGTCTGATACGGCAACCCGGTTATGCGGAGGAGATAAAAATGCCAAAATTATATAAAAAGCCTCCAGCTTTAAATGTAATAAGGAAGGTGTACCCTATGCTTTTTTTCCCCTGGACAATTCTCCATTGTATCCTGCATATTGCACTTAATATTACCCTGTCAGTCAGGGAAGCAATAATACATTAATGAAACCCAGCAAATAATTATTGTAGACAATCAGATTACGGCTTTATTAACGGTTTCATAATTGCGGAATCTCTGTACATCAATGGTATTGTCCGAGGAGGGGTAAGAACCCTCTGTTTATGCACACCTCTGGACCAATCAAACAACAGCCATCACTAATAAAGGTTTATTTAATTCTCACAGTAAAATTTTAATATCGCCAACAGCCTGGGGAAGCGTCAGTGAGTGGATTTGCTTGACATCAATTCGTTTCCATTCTGCTAGTCCCAATACTTCTTAATCTTTAATATCAAGGCAATTAAAATTAATGGCCACTCATCCAAAGCCACTGTGGGCAGTGTTTCCTTGACATCAATTGTTTGATGGGATTACCTAGAGGTTAAACTAACAAGCAAGGTTTAATTGGAAGCAATGAAAGGAGCAGCGATCATACGTTATGTTTAACCTGCGTACCACATCGAAATGAATGTCTCAAAAACATTACACTATTTCTGAAATTAACATCTGCCGAAGGTTGGGGCTTCGCTGGTCACCACAGGACAAGTCTGTTTCTTTGGATGCTAAACATCAGAATTCGCGTCTATATCCCAGTAACCCTCCCTCCCCCGGCCAGGCTAGTTTCCAAAACACCCTTCCTCGCATAGATTTGCAGTTGAGCTCCGGGAGCGTCGGACGCTTGCAGCCTACAGACGCCAGGCGACCAATGTCTCGGCCACGGGTGGGCAGACAGACGTGTGGACGAGCCAACGTGGGGAGCAGGGGGCAGAGAGAGTGAATGCGAGAGGCTCGGAGTCCGTCGATAACAGGGCCCCGCTCCCACGCTTTTCGTTTGCTGCTGTGATTTGTTTCCAGGCCCTGGACTCGGCCAGGGCCCTGGGCAATGTGTGTGAGGGGGACTTGGTTCCGGGCCCCGCAGAAGGGGCGGGATACCCAGACCCTTTAAAATGGCTGGGCCCCGGGGCAACTTCCCCCTTGCTTCCGCTGCCCTCCGTCAGCATCCCTGGTCAGGGCCTTGGTCCTGGAGGGTGCGACCCAGGAACTGAAGGCAGGAGAGGCCAGGCCAGGCCAGGCCTATATCAGCCAGGCTTCCGGCTGGCCCGATGGCGCTCGTGTTTGTCAGCTGTGCTGTGCCCAGGGCTCCCTGGGAGCGGCTCCACCACAGCCCCCGCCGCAATCAGCTTTGTCTCTTCCCCTTGGCTCAGTGACTAGCTGCCCCCCACCCCAGGGGAAGTGCATGTGACACGGGCGACACCCGCCCAGGGTCCCTCCTGACTGCAGTGGGACTGGCTTTTCATGGCGCCCTGGGCTGCTTTTCACCCCCGCTGGGGCAGGGGCTGCGCTCCGGGAGCAGAAGGAAAATGCTGATCTGCAGCTGAGCCTTTGGCGGTTGGCAGCAGGCGCGGCAGAGGCTGGGCAGCACCAGAAACCCAGCCAGCGGCAGCTGGAAGCCGAGTCCAGCACCGACCCAGAGCCCCGGGGCAGCCTCGGCTGGAACCAGCCTGCTGCAGAAGGCTCCCTTGGGGAATCGCAGCCAGCTGCGGCTGCGGCACTCCCCAGCCCGGGACTCTGCCCGCTGGGCCCCCAGGCTCTCCTGGGTCAGTGGGGCCAGGGCTGTGCAGGGGCTCTCCCAGCGCTGCGGGTGTGGCGGTTCGCGCCTCTGAGCTACAGCGTCAGGCTCTCCGCAGGCCCCAGCAGGCGACTCTGCCTTGTGGCGCCTGGTTCG